GGTTCTCTGATCTGAAATGCAAAGGACCGGTTGAATTTCTGGTATCGTGACTACTCTCTTGCTAGCACCCCTTTAATAGGTGTCTGGTGCCAAAGAATATTAATCGTTGTAGGCTACATTGAAGTCCATCCCCACCCCCATGTGAGCCTCTGAAATGAACAGCGAAGTTGAACTTTGCCAGCAACTGTTAGGAAAAGGGCCAAGAACAGCCTACCAGGAAAGATACTGAGGATTTTTTGTTTGCTTTTCTGCTAAACCATGTTTTTGTAACTTCGAATAGTTTGTGGAAATTTGCTTAGAAAAGGAAGTGCATGTAAAATGGTCCATACAATTAAACCAACTACACCTCAGAGTTGAAAGAATATAAGGCCAGTCTCACTCTGTTGCACTCACACAGACAAAACCCCTTCTCAAGAGGAATTTTGGCTTGACAGGGAAGATCCGGAGACTAATCTTCCTTAACTTCAGGCCCATGTGCCATATTGTCCGGTTTATGACTGCCCCAAATGGCCTGAAAGCAAAGGACACTCACACTAAACAAAAGCAATGCCTGAAAGAAGGAGAAAGAGGAATTTGAAAGCTGTCCTTTCCAAATCCCTTCTACTCAGAAGTTGGTTCCTGAGTCCGGATCAGGAACCCTGAACAAGCCAGCAATGCTCCTAAAACTACCTTCTGCTGGACTGGGGAGAAACAGGACTACTTTATTTTGCTCGGATTCACATGAATGCTGCTTTAATCATTCCCCTGCTTCTTGCTCCTGCCACTTCTCCCCAGCTTAGGTTTGTGAAGTCCCGAATCACTCAATTAAGCTCACCCGCCAAGGCAGCTTCCCCTTGCTTTCCAGGATAGATCGTTCTGGGGTATCAAAAACCACAAAGTTTTTCAAGTTTGGCCCCTAAGTAAATAAACAGTGTAAAGGAGTAAGTTGTAGTAGGACCACTTCAAATGCTATGCTTCAGATAATTTTATAAATTCCATTTCTGTGGTTTTCTGTAGGAAATGGCAACATAATAGAAGCAGCCCGCTCCCGACTCCCACCACGCCAAGGCATTTGTAGGGTTACAGGTTTATCTCACTGCAAAAGGAAAACCACCATCCTAGCGTGAGAAAGCTTGGTATTGGGTTTATAAAAGAACGTTTTATCAGTCAGCCTTAAGAAAGTCTTGGTTTTAAAGGAAAATTAAACTTATCCTTGACTGGTGTAGCGAATGATACAGTGAACTACACTTTTAGAAGGATATATGCAATGTGTCCTGTCAAGCACTTCCACTTTCCATAGTAACAAGCCCCCCTCTCTGTACACAAAATGGATTTGACGTGTAAACAATATTGCTGAAAACATGTCCAAAAATAAAACAAGGTCTACTTAATTACAAACCTAGTTTTTAAGGCCTTGTGCAGTCCCTTATATAAGCCACAACACGCTGCCATTTGGCTGAGATCAACGTAAAGCCTCCCGTCTCCTCAATAAATAGTACTGCAAAGCACATTATAGTGGGAAACTGGTAAAGCATGCATGACTTTTTACCCACACCGGGTGTGTAATCGCGTTGAAGCCTGCGATAGCAACTGACTATTGCCATCTTCAGGCGGCCCTCAGCCTTGCCTCAGCTGAAGCCCAGCTAGCTGTTGCTGCTCCTGTGCAATCACCCTTGTTAAACACTGTCACTTGCACAAGGTGGTTGGAAGTGCTGGCTCTGAGACTAGTCAAACCCTGCAGTACAACTCTCTTTTGAAACACATTTTAGTATTAAACAAGTTACACATGTATTGCAAGATGAACATTTTCCCTCCGCTTCCGTTCTCTTACGTAAAATTGAAGACACCTAATCCCTGGCCAAGTAAACCTGCCGAACACAGACCTCTGCTTCTAGCAGCTCTAAGTGGCGTTGTCATGTTTGTTTTGCCCAGCTGTACCTCTGTAGCCCACCTGCCAAGTCAGTTCTGTAACCGGATAGCACTCAAAGTGCTGCTTAAACTAGTCATTTACACCGTAGACGTGGTGCGAGATGACTACCAGCCCCGTTTCTACATGCAAGTCCAGGGACATGACTAAGGAGAGTTGCAGTCAGGGAATTCCTACCTTCCAGCCCTCGGTGATGATGACTGTCCCACACAAAGCTAAGTAACTTGGGGGATTAAAAAAAAACCCTTGGTGCCTTTTATCTGTAAGACACACCTGAGACCTGTAATTTTTTAATGTGTTTTAATACTAATGAGCAAGCAAGCAGCTTCCAGCTGAGCAGCCTGTGGACATTTTTCTACTCACACATCTTCTGTCACTCCTGAAATTCCTGACTCTGAGCGGTGATAATATCAGGGCAGGGCGTAACTGGGAAGTTGAAAACACACTGGGAACAAACCTTCCCACGTCACTGGTGCCAAACCCATCCACACAGGGGGTGAATATAGTACTACCTTCGTCTGTAAAAGAAACCTCGGCTTGTGAAAAAGCTACCATCCCCTGCTGGTTCTTCAGCCAGATGTACTCTGCAGGGAAATGGAAAACTGAAAAGGGTGCAAAACGGCCACGTCACCTGCGTGAGTGCTCCGACAGGATAGTACTGACGCACAGTGGCAGGAAAACTTGCATCCCCGGTACCTGCTCTTCTGAGACTGCAAGTGAGACCTGAATGCTCTAATTGCCTCGTACTTCTCCTGAAAGAACTTAGAGAGGCAGGTCTAGACACCTCAAACTAAACCGAGTAACTCCTAAAATCTTTTGGATGTGCATTTATTTTGGATGTAAATTTTACCATTAAATATAAAATCATCCAAACCTAGTATCAATTCTATTTTATGTTTTTTAAATTGAATCACTCCAACTCTCCTAACGCACTTGGCAATCTGTAAACACTAAATCCATTAAGGTACAAACTGGACAGCTCCCCTTCCCTTCACTGTTTAGCTCTCGCACGCTGCAAACACCTGTCGCAAAGGCAGGTGTGTCGACTTCTTACCCTCAGCTGCTCTTCACTGCAACGCAAATACGGTTCAGTTTCACCAGAGCTCCCCAGCTTTGCCTAAAGGTGTCGTGAAACGCTTGAGCAATTCGACGCAAACCCGACAGCCAAGCTTAAAGGTCAGTTAAGAACTTTAGAGAAGTAACTAACAGGTCATGTATTCAATTTGGTGTTGCCGATATGCGTTTTAAATAGACACAAGCTTTACGTTCTTGGAACTAGGGCACCGTGTTCAGCCTGCTCAGCACACAACAGCGTCTGGCCGCAGTCATTCATGCAACCAAACCTTGTCTGTGTAAGACGACTTCTGCACACGACTTTCAACACCCCACGCACCTCCAAGTTCCCACCTGGGCGACCAAGCAACTGCAGCTGCAGTGTTCTTCAACGGGGGAGGCTGGGCTCCTTCCTTGCGGCCCAGCTACCCAGGGACGAGGCCTTCCCTCCTTACGCTGCCCAACAGTGGCTCCCAGCGGTCGCTGTTCTTACGAACAGGTTGAGAAGGGGCTGCCGATCAGCATTCCCGCTCGCTGCACTTCCTGCGCACCGCTGGAGTCAGTTCAAACGCACCAGCTGTTTGACTACGGAGGCTCAGAAAGCTACCCGCTGTTTAAACTGCCTGGAAAGCCCAAGACTACCGTCACCGGTGAAGACTAGCCACAGCTAGGAAAAACGCAGGGCACCCGAAATGCTGCACAGAAGGCAGTCGGTCAGCCCCATGCAGGAGACGAGGTCACTGTAGGGTCAAACACACCAGCAGTTCTTACACGCTCCGAGTACAACACCCCAAGCAACCAGGTACCTTCTATCATTTGTATTGTTGAGGTGCTGAGCACCCCCAGAGAAGGGCAACGAAGGTGGTGAGGGGCGCAGAGCACAAGCAGGGTAGTCTGGAGGAGTCTCAGGGGAGACCTTACTGCTACCTACAACTACCCAAAAGGAGGATGCAGAGCACTGGGGGTTGGTCTCTCCCAAGTAACAAGCGACAGGACAAGAGGAAACAGCCTCAAGTTGCCTCAGGGGAGGTTTAAATTGGGTATTAGGAAGATTTTCATCACCGAAAGGGTTGTCAGGCATTGGAATGGGCTGCCCAGGAAGTGGTGGAGTCACCATCCGTGGAGGTTTTAAAGACATTTAGGGACATGCTTTAGTGATGGGCTTGGCAGCATTAGGTTAATGGACAGCTGGACTTGACGATCTTAAAGGTCTTTTCCAACCTAGAAGATTCTAGGATGCTGTGTGTCCTTTTCTAAATAACTACAGACTGTGAAAGCATTCCTGGGCAAGAGCAGATTATTTTGTTCCTGCCCATGTAGCTCTGCTTCTTGGAGGACCCTGCCGATTTCCAGGAGTGCAATGCAGCACATCAGGCAAACAGTCAACACCTGATGGAATTTCCCAACAACTGAAAGTAGTAGTAGTTGAGCAAAACACCTCCAGACATTAACAGGCACCCAGGAATCTCCATACCAAGTTTTTTTTCCTGTCAGAAAAAGCTGATGCTTCCGATTCCGAACATCAACCAAAATGGAAACACGCAGAGCTATGCCCAAGTGCGGAGTCCAGGACTAAATTCTGGAAGATGCCATTTAACATTCTTCCTTCTTACACAGAGAAACTGGTTTCGGGTGACTCCTATTTATACAGTCTCTGTAAAGAAGTGCAGAGGTCGGATGCCAAGACAGCGTGTCGGAAAGGTGAAGAAGAAAGGAAAAGCAAGCTCTGAAGTGCAGAGAAGACAGCACAGGCATAACAACTGCTTTTCTCACTAAACCAAGGCTCAGCTGAAAGTATGAATTATCAGAAGAGCTGTGAACCTAATTCAGGAATTGTACACTCTTCCACGCTGTAGCATAATGGATTGCAAGAAGGGGACTGAATTGACATTGGAATTGGATTGATCAAGAGATTAAGATGAGACAAACCAAACCGACAATGCTTAGCTTCATCCCTACCACAAACTGCTCTGACAAAGAGTCTTCCAAGGAACATGATCAGTCCCAACAAAGACAGAAAATACTCAGTGTTACAGCAGTCGAACATCTTGAAAAAATTTAATAAGACAAATGCCTTCTTAACACAAGTAAATGGTACATCACAGATCACGTGTTTATGAGTGAACCGAATCAGTCTTTCCGTAACTGGACAGTTTCCTCTTTAATCCCATCTTTTGTGACAATGCAAATCTTAAGTGCATCCCCAGTGTACACGTCTCTCTCAGCAGCAGACACAAAGACATCCTTAACCAGCTGCAAAGCCTTTTCCAGGGTCAGAGGCACATGTTCCACATTTTGCATGTTCTTGAAGCCAATCTAAGGAAAGATGAAAACTTATTTTAAAAGGAAGTATGCCCCATCTAGCACGAAAGCTGTTTTAGTCTCTGCATTAGGGCGAGCAGAGACTCAAAAAGATGGTTGGTCTGGCTTAGAAACCCAAAGCTGACAAAAGCATCCCTCCACACAGTTTACAGCTGTGTGATCGGAACTCTCCCGAAGCTGATCCTCTCACAGAAGTAACTAGAAGCAGACCTGGTTCAAGCAAGGGCAGCCCCTCCCAGTCATCCAGCACACACGAGATCGCCATACACATCCCGATCTGATCTGCTTTTTCACAACCTTCTCACTGGGCTAGCAGTATCCGATCTGCACACAAGCCTTTTCTCCTCTAGCTAGGAACGTGCCTTAAAAGAAAATATTCCCCAAAGTACCCAGAATTCAAAAATAACCATCTATATTGGTCCACACCTGGTCCTATTAAATAGTGTATTTTAGCTGATAAACTTAAGCTTCCACTTAAGCATTAGAACTGGAAAAGGTGGGGGGAAGAGTCACCTACTTTGCCTCAAACTCATAAGCGATAAAAAGCAACTTATGACAACTTTGTTTCTGTTGAAGGTATTTGATATTTTTTTTTAGTTAATGAAATTCAAAACTAAGTCAAAGTTAAGAGTTTGATTTTGTTTGTTTGTTTAAAAAAAAAAAAAAGATTCTACTCCTCTACCAGCTGGTAAGAACTAAGTGCTTATTGCTTTTTCAAGCACAAGAGTTGTGTTGACATCAGGCTCAACTGACTAAACAATACCAACACCAATATCTGAGAATAAAATGAATAAGACATGCTTTGGTATTTCTGTCATTTAACGATTACCAGCTTCAGTTGAATATAGAATCATAGAATGGTTTGGGTTGGAAGGGACCTTAAAGACCATCTAGTTCCAACCCCCCTGCCATGGGCAGGGACACCTTCCACTAGACCAGGTTGCTCAAAGCCTCGTATGAAAATATTCTTCAAGTATTTTTAGACAGATTTAATTAAGTTCTCAACAGTCTTATGGAAGAACATTCATAGAAAATGGTGAATTCCTTGTATAAAACTGAAGACTTTTATACAACTGCATGCTAAATGATAGAATGTATTATACACACCTATTAATTCTATCTTCTTAATTTAGTGTTATGTCATGCTAAGTTAACAGGCGTATTTACACTATCAGCCAGGGGAAAAACAGTTTCTATGGGAAACACCTGTCCAACTAAAACATTTAGATGTATGTTAAACAGGCATTCCACTGTTGCCACACATTAAAAACCTAAACAGATTCTAAAGCAACACTTTCTGACTTCTCCTTAGAAGGTTGAGTCCCACAAGTTGTAAATTTATGGCTTAGCAGTCCTATCTGTAATACATTTAATGTTCCCCCAAAGTAAAGCTACATTATTTTAAACGTCACAAATGTTTACTGAGATCGTAAAAGGAAAAAAAACCCACCACCACCACCACAGAGAACTATCTTACCTGGTTATCAAGCAAGGGCTGCAGCATGGCACTTGCTGATCCAGCTGCCTTGAAAGAATCTCGTTGGTATGAGCCTACTGGATCAAAGCTGTATACCGCTCCTTTCCCTAATTAAAAAAAAAAAAAAACCAACATCAAAAATTAGCTGTCTCCATAAGCAGACAAATCCCAGCAAACCACTACCCAGTAATATCACAGAATGTTCAGACAATGCTTTGTACAGAGCCTCACTGTGCACTGCTACAATATGCAAGGTTGGCTGCAATATTTAAGCTACAAGCATGCCCTAATGGATGTTTTCTATAGCGTTTACCACAGAAAAAGTGCTGACGTAGAATAATCAAAGCAGGAGAATGTGCTAGACCGCAGCGCTGCACACAGAACTCTGCTGGTTCTAAAGCTAGTACACTGAGGCAGTTTAGCCATTGTTCTTGAATGACATATTCTGACCAACACACTTCCTGAACTACCCTGCAGAGTGTGCTGGGGTGCCTCTGCTTTGCCTTCCCAGAACCAGGGATGATGCTCTGGCCTCTAACATGCTTCCCTCTGGAGACAGGTCAGGCTGTGCAAAGCTTATCAGCTTGCGCCAACACCAGAGACACAGACACACTGTGGCTCTGAAGCATCAGGATTTGATGGGGCCATGCTGGTCCTAACGCAGCACCTGGCCAAGCTCCCCCTTTCCATTCGGACAGGCAGCACCTCCGTTACTCAACCGGCCAGTGCACTTAGCAGCACGGCACGGGTAGCTGAGCAGCCCTGACAAAGCTAGCAGAGATCCAGAAAGTAACACTAAACCAAAAGAAATCAGTCTTGCTGGACCCAAATTTAGCTCATGCACAAAAACCTGCACTCTGACTCTTATCAATCGCTACAGCACTCTCATAAACCTAGATTCACCATTACGCAGAGGGACATCCTGGCCCTGGATGTCTTCAAGGCCAGGCTGGATGAGGCTTTGAGCACCCTGGTCTAGTGGAAGGTGTCCCTGCCCATGGCAGGGGGGTGGGAACTAGATGGGCTTTAAGGTCCCATCCAACCCAAACCATTCCGTGATTCTATGATCAGTACACTAATCCCTTTCCAGACTCTACATATCGTAGACGTGTCTTAGCAAGACTAGGAAAGCAGTATGACTTCAGGGTAACACCAAACTGTGGGGAACGGTTGAACTTATCCCAACAAGACCACCTCTGAGCTCCTGCCCAAATCCAGGGAATGCAGTATTTTAGCAATCCAACCAAACCCTCAGAGAAGAGCCCAGTAAGCCCTGGAACGGCTGTCTGTAAACTGCAGCATCCACGTATAATTCATGATTTTCATTAGAGGTTAGTGAACATTTAAAAATCTCTTTGTAGAAACCAGTCTCTGCAATAAATCTTCACAGTTAAGAAACTCTACCACACTTACAGGCCTGAGTGAAATATATACAATTTTACTGCTAACATCTCCTTTAAAGACACAATTAAGAAATGCATCAAAGGTAAGCATTGTTAGCATATTTCTCTTGCAATGAAATTATCATAACATACTTCTTATTAGACTTTCAGACCTTCAGAAATGGAAGGCCAAGTTAGCAGTGGAAAGCCGGAAACGAGACATGCATAAGACACACATGACCTGTGTAGGTACTGCAGTTCCTAGAGGTAGGTGTTAGAAATAGAAACACAAGCTTTGCTATTCCATCAGCATACCCGAGATGTAAAAGGACAACTATTCATCTACAGAAATTTAGCCTCTATTTTTCTTTTTTCTGATTAAAGTCTTACCTTCTTCATCAAGTCCACCAATTATGTTGTAAACATAGTAAGGAAAGAAACGTCGAGAATACAGAATTGTGGACAGCATGGCTGCAATAGCCCCAGTAGTCATGGTCTTGTTATTGGAATGCTTGTACATCTGCAAGCGGTACAGGACGAAAAGAAAGCAAGCAGAAAGTCAAACACTAAATCTTACATCCAATCAGAATCACGTTTTCTGTAACCTCACTATAGAAGAATCTGATGCTAATCAGGTTATTAACTGGCATGATTACTGAAAACATACTAGCCCGAAAGCAAAGCCTTCTCACAAGCCAAAATTAACATTTCTCTAAAGTTTTGCAAATAAAAGATGTTGCCTCATTAGCATTATCCCCTCAGCTCTCCTGTTCCCTGAATTTGTGATGTTACACCTAGTAAGAGCACAGCATTGATTTCCCCTGCCTGAGCTTTCATGAGCAGTATGATCTAATGATATGATGGGACATATGACACCAGTTATCATACAAGCACTTGAAGAAAATCAGCAAAAATTATATTTAAAACGTGTTACTGGCCTGAAATGTGATACTAAGAATACAGTGAGATAGTTAGCTACCTTTAATCTTGCTTCAATAATTTTAGTAAGGGTAAGGCAGTCACCGTGGAAACCACTGCATCCGATGATCGTTTGTTCCGTCCTGTAAAACATAAAATTTTGGCGTGATTTTAGATTTAGTATGGACTATACCACTTTGCCACACAGCAGGTTATTATATGAAAACACCTGGTGTACTTTCAGTTTCTCTAATGCTATCAAAAACAGCTGCCTGAAATGTAACGGACCTTTTGCGTATAAGAGGTAACTGCACTCTGCATCTTGGAGAGGACTCACTGAGGGCTGGAGCGTGCAGATGTCTTTCTTCAATCCGCCTACTTATACAGCAAGGCTGGCAGAAAGATATTCCAAGTTTCTTCATGCACCACTAGCTCTAGCTGTGAGCATTCCGTCTTCCTAGAACACCTGCTCTGAGGCGGGAGCCGGCTGCATCCTATCACTCAGCCCAGTTTTACCTACCTGCCCCAGCACAGGACCACGTTAAGATTGTAAGATGGTTACGCAGCGTCAGCACAGCAGAAGTTACCTGGCTACGGATGCACTGCAGAAAGTTGGCTCTTTGTTCAGTTTCAAAGCACTTCATGAACGCTAACTAGCAGAAATTTAAAGTCTAGTCAATTGGTGAGTACAAACATTCACACGTTCTTACAGACTAACACAAAGCAGTCATTCAGAAAACAATTTAAACTCAAATCTTCCCTCAGTCGGTCACTGGAATTATGCAAAGCCATCATGCAGCATGCAGGCTGCACCGCAGTAATTTCCATTTGGACAGCATCACAGATACGGTAAAGAGTCAGCCAGGAGAAACTTAAGTTCGTACGACCTCGTGTCAGCAATTAAAACAAAACTTGGAAAAGTTCAGGCAGCTGATGGCAGCCTACGAGGTAAGCACCTGCTCCAGTCTAAAATATGTAAAAAATGCGTATTTTTAAACCAAGGGGATGCTATCTACGTGAGTCAAGATAATGAGTATAAGAAGTTCAGTAACGGAACCCCTGACAGGTCCACCTCTCCTAAAACAAGCACCTCTGATGTGTCAGATGGGTGACCAGAGACACCCAGTTCAGCTGGCAGCAGTGGGCACACCCGCGGGCTGACACCAGGTGTCCTCACGAAGCAGAATGACTTACCACAGGATCAAGTTTTGATCCAATTAAAACAGAAGTCGTTCCAATTATCCAGCCAAAACACACCTAACTTATATTAAGCCTTGTATCACCGTAAAAACGTTCCCATTACCAGCTACCTTCAAGAGCAGGCAACAAGGAATCTGGCTGTATATACAACACCACAGCACATACCACATCACGTCTTGCGTTACAGCAAGAGTCACCACGACTCCAAAATCAATTTTGTTTACTATCCGTTTCTTCTGAGAATTCTGCTTCAAGAAAGCAACAGCTCATTCCAGGCAGGTGACGTGCTCAGCGATACACAATTAAAAAAAAAAAAAAAATTTTCATCTGTTTCAATTCGTACAAGATCTGGACTTACAGCTTGTAGCATTTTGGGCTGTCCCGGCAGTGAATGGCATAACCTTCGCTCAGTCGCGTGTCAGAGGCGACGATAGAAAAGTCTTCTCCAGCAATCGCCAGCACAGTCCTTGAAGAAGAGCATTCATGTAATCGTGACTCTTAGCCCAAGTATTGTCTTAGGCAACAGAAGAACAGGCTAGATAGTAATTCCATACCCCGACTCAGGTTTTGTCAAGCATCTTATATTCCTTGCTATGCCTCCCACTCTGCACATCTCTACGCATGACTCAAGGTTGGAGGAAGAAGATACGAGACACACTGAAGAAAATACAGGTTTGTGATGCTCTGACTAAAAAAAATCTCTGTATGGCAACTTGGTAAAACAGAGGTTCTATGCAATGCAAGAACCAGACTCAGTGGAGCAGTAATTTTACATGCCTGCTAATGAGAGATTCACCCCCCTAAAGCAGTTTGGCTCTCCAAGCAAAATCACGCCAGACAAGTACTAAGCACCAGTATGGTTGTATTTATCATCACTTTTTTTAATCTGATGGTATCCTATGTTATTTACTTCCAAACAACTCGCTCTGTGATTGCCACATAACAAACAGATGTCCTTTAAAAAGCAGTTAGGCATTATATAAAAATTTAAATAACACTATCCTGGCCAAACGCCGTCACCAACTCGGAGTGAAGTCTATCGGAAAACATCACCTACCGTTAAGAGTTATGACAGGGTCGCTTTCAACCCAGACAGAGGTTTAAAAGTTGGCAACATGCGCACTACGTGGGTTTCTTGAGCCGCTATAAAGAAACAACCCAGCAGGGACCGGAAGGTGTTTATTTTGACCCGTAAGAATTCGGGGAGCCCGAGCGTGCCGAAAGGCACACGGACACGTGAGACACCTCCGAAGAGCCGCAGGGAGCCGCGGGGCGCTCAGCCCAGGGGCAGGGCCGACCCAGCTCTCTCCCCTCTACCACGCGGCACTCGGGAGGAGACGAGCCCGCGGAGTACCGGGGGCAAGAGGAAGGCCCAGCCCTACCGCCACCCTCCTCAG